GTTATCTCACTGACTATATAAAATGACTTTGACTGCAGTATGCACGTGTACAGATGCAGCGAAATGACCATGGATACATTGTGTAAACCAATGTTTCTGACTTCTCTATTGACCACAATAACATTTTTAGCAAAACCAAACCTCCTTCCTGCTGGGAAATGGAAGACAAATTGTTCATTTAGGGGAATACAGCCACAACTGTTGGTGTTCGAACACCGCTGTCTACGTAGCATTGTACGAATCTGGTGGGGCAGCCGAAAGACAATACTGAGGTTAGGTGCAGAGTTTTAGGCAACCGCAGTCGCTCACTGGAGGAAGTGGTCGACCTCCATCGATTACTTTGGTTGAGGCATGTGTTACGCACGTCACCAAATAGGTTGCCACGGCGAGCGACGTTCGCCAAGGTAGGTATTGGTTGGAATAAAGCCAAGAGTGGTCAAGCTAAGACCTGTGATGAGGGCATGAAAACTTCAACCAGGAGTCTGGGTTACATAGGTTCTGTTAGGCTCCCTGGATGAGGACCTCGGGATGATCGTAACCGATGATTAGAGATACTGAGTGATATTGCGGAGTGTCGTACACAGTGGCGTTCAAGCATCTCAAATTCTTTGCAAAAGTAGTCCACTGAAATTCCCAATTTTCTCCTCGATCCCATTTCCAACCTCCCTGTCTTGCTTCTATTGTCCATCCAAATGGGCAACCAAAAAACAGCAACCAAAGCCGGCGCACAAAAGTGCATGGTTTCATGGCTATTCAAACTGAAAACTGAAAGCACTGCACTTTTCGTGTCATATGAATGGTCGTAGGGTGTCATTCCAAATAAAGGGCGAAAAGCATCGTCCTCCAAGATTGACTGTCAAGACTATCGATCCTCTTCGAATACGAAGAACATTTCAACAACAACAAAAAATCGTTTCATGAGTCCCTATGCACATGCAATTTGGACTAATACGAGATTCTTATCGAGTCCACTAGTACATAAACCAGCAGGATAATCGAAGGTCATTATTCACAAACCAAAAGCTTGTGGGCGACTAGGGGATGGATAAGAAATCGAAACCAGAGGCGGCAGCGCATACCACCATTGTAGTCGGTCGACTCAGTACTAGACAAGTCATACTCTTCTCAATGTGTGTGTGAGATAAGAACCTAACTGTTAGCTGGTGTTTTATGCGTATGGACAGTCCAGATTGAAAGCATTTTGATGACAGCACACCGCAAGGATGCTCCCAGATCCTAATGGAATAACCGCTCCCCGGTCAAGTAGCATTAGATATCATAATAAACCCAGTGAATACCTAGGCAGGCTCGTTAATACACCAGGTGAAACCGTTCTCAAAGTTGTCAGATAAGAAATAATACAATTAGGCGACTAAACTTACCTGTTCAACAGACGTTCGAAAAGAGTGGCGTATTTCTTCACGTCTTTTGAGGACGGAGATCGTGTGCCATGACGGAACAGAGCATTCACGTGAACCAGATTACAAGAAGCCAGGCTTTGTATCGGTCGCATGTACAGCTGATTACGATACGATTCCAGCGAACAATGACGATAAGCCGTCTTCGTGGAAAATTGTGTCCAAGGCATGTCCGGTTCAGTGACCGGGTTGAACACATACACGTATAAGAACGCGAAAATAAACGCGCCCAACGAACCCAATGATTGGGACATGACAAAAATGTGATCGGACGACTGGTCGGAAAACGAGTACCGAAAAAGCAGACTTTAAACACACTCCATGTGAACGAGAGACAAAAAATATGAAAATATCTGAGGTATATCAGGCTATGACAACAGAATCGACCGCTCAGAATGAAACTCGCTTTAACAAATTTTATCACGCATTACATTACATTACCTTTGTAAGCGACTGAAGGCTAATTGACAGAGACTAAATCACCCTGATAGGCAACGAACCCGAGTCAATAATACAATTTATTTGAATGGAGGTGGCACAGCGGTTTAGTCGCTGTCACCGGTGCTTTGGACCCTATGGTCCGAGGTTCGAGCCCCACCATCACCCCACTTTGGTAGTAGGCAGCTTTACAGTCGTTCGGTTCAGTACCGTCTTTATTCGAGAGGCCTTATGTGGTCCGCCACACCAAGTCTCAGGGCTTAGGTTACCGGTTTAGATCAATGACCCACAAGTTCTCGTGACTATAAGACTTTCCCCGTCTGCCGATCATCACAATAAGCTGTTATGAAAAAGGTTGAGTAGACAAATATAGTTTTAACGGAAATGGTTTAACAAAAGTTTATATAACTACAAACTACAAACATGAGATTAGGACTAACAGGGACAGAATCGGATAGTGTATCATCATCGTACAGCGAGATGAAGTGAAGCAAACTTCCCTGTTCGCTGTCAAGCTAACAATGTTCACAAACCAAGTGATAAAGTACAAGATGGAGAGGGATTGGGCCTGATTGGACGGCGGAAAACAAAGTGAACCTCTATGGTCAACACAGAGAGTACACAATCTAACTGTGCATACACACCTTTATAAGCATTCTGACCTGCTGTCGGTTCGCTGACATATCTTCCAATATCTCCAACCAGCCAGTTGCAGTCTTTTGGAATCCAACTTGAAAGGCTGGATACACCTATTCTACCTAATCGCTCTGTGACCAGTGAGGTCGACTAACCTGAATTCAATGGGACAACGAATTCTCCATCGAATCATTACCAAATACGCGAAGTCTTACCTCCGAGTTGCTTACACGCTCGCTCCATCCAACCCGCGCCAAACTACGATAGTCGATGACTTCTGGGCGACGCATATCTTCCACGCGGAAATCAAGGGTTTCGCAACCGTGAAGCACAACTGACAGCACACTGGAGCGGTAAACACGATCTTCCAGTTTCAACGAAACATCACGTCTGCAAAAAAGGTGTTTCAGTCCTGCGTAAGCTGCTCGAGCCTTGGAATGTGGGCGGTTCCGTCACTGAATATGCTTCCTTCATTTGTAACGCAGCCACCTAAGTAGGGGAGACATTCCACTATAGCTAATTCTTGACCATCAGCGGCGAGGTAGACGATTCCCAATCTTGCAGCATCGCTTTGCACTTTGAAGGTAAAAAAGTGTTACGTTGGTATTTCGAACTGTGTAGTTTCAGACCCTTAGTCCTCTAGCAATGTAGAACAACCGTACGCGGAGTAGGACAGGTTTTTATAACTCGTTTACAATCAATCGTGTCAAACATATGTTTAGTAAGGCAGTAATAGAACTGACAGCCAACCAGGATCGGGCCCATGTCGGCCGGCAGTATTGGCACAGACAAATGCGTGAAGTTGATCGATCCGAATAGATATCAATCGATAACATCTGTGGAACGATGCGCAGGATGGTAGGACGTAGGACGTACGCACTTAAGCCGCAGGCACGTATGCAACATAAAGCGCATACCAAATGGAGTTACAAAACGTGAAAGACAATCAAGAGCGCCTTGCGCATCCTCCATATATTCGAACAGACAAACGATGTCGACAGTGTACTCTAAATCGCACAGCTTTTCTCCAGCGGACCATTCAATATCAACATTTTGGATACACCTTGGTGCATTCTCCGGTATTTCGTCTAAGACGAAGTTAAACGGCAGTGGTGAAAGAAAGAACCTTTGGTGAACATCACTCCCGGTTTCGAATGATTAACAGCCTATTGTAGACCCCTCGGTTACTAGAAGTATGAAGGTACAGCGACCGCGATAGGTCTAAATACTTCTGCGGCATTCCTTTGCGAAGTACCGACCCCATTAGAGCTTCACAGTCAACTGAATCGAAGGCTGGTATTGGGTCAAAAAACACTGCGATAGTTGGCCGACGATTTGTGCGGTGTAATTCGAAGACTTGACGCAAAGAGATTTGGTCAACGCAACCGCGACCTGGCCGGAATCCTGTTTGTTATTCGTGGATATTCCTCTCCCTTAAGGGTTTCAGGCGGCAAAGTATCTCAGATTTGAACAGTTCTGGGATGATCGGAACTAAATTAATACCGCGGTGGTCAGCGCAGCCGGTGCGTGATCCCTTCTTGAAGATCGGAATAATTAACGCTTCCTCCGACCAAATGCTGCGAAGTAAGCTAATAAACGGGTTGATGAGGCAGTTACCACCAAGCTTACAAGGAATGGGATGAAGCCCATCAGGTCCCGCTGCCTTCCTTTTCTTCAATGATTGAATACAGCTTCGTAATTTTCATGGAGTTTCCGCTGCAATTGCTGGAAGAGCCACAGTAGCACTAGGCCAACGGAACTATTCACTAAAGTACTGTGCCCGGCGATCAAGTTGTTGTTTATCTTGGATACTCTGTCCACTTTTATCGAAAATGGTCTCATTGACCGGTGCGCGACGACTTCCGGTGCAGCGTATCGGGTGAAGCAGTCTGAATA